GGGTGACGCCATGCGGACGCTCTCCTGCACGAAGCATCGACTGGCTGCCGCGGGGAGCGGCGGGCAGAGAGCGCGAGTGTGCGTTTCGCCCCGCGCTGTGCGGCGGCGGTTGGACGCCGCGCCGGCCTTGTCGGTCTCGGCGACCTGGGAAGCGGAGAAGGCAAGAATGTCTCCCTGCATCATCTGGGCCCTGCAATGCTTGGGGGAGAACTGGAGGTGGTGGAGCGCCCGGGGGCGCGTACAAGAATCGTTTGAGCAAGCTGGGCACTTCGTCCTCAGGACGTGGAAACGCGACTGCATTCTTATGACGAGCGCGTGCCTCCTGTGAGCGGCCAAGGCCTTGCGGCCGCGGCATTCTCCTGGCAGTCAGGGCGCAACAGAAGCAGGACTGGCCTGGCCACCCGCCCAAACGGGACATGTTGCTTCCCTCGCTACTGGACTGCGGGGCCCGGCATGGGCAAGCGCGGAGTGCGTGGGCTCCGACGCGATGAACTCGCGCTAGGCACCAGGAAAATACAACCAAACCTTCGGGGGCCTGGGTTTCCACACGAAAAGCAGGTGCCAGCTGTCTGAGGCGCCAGCAGGAAAAGCTGGATGGCCGCCGCAGGTCTGGGCACGGCGGCAACGCAGCGCATCGCAAGCGGCGGCGCTCGCAGCTGCGAGCCCAGGCCTGCCATTCGTCGCGCCCGCAACAGTGCAGCGAGCGGGGCGGCCTGTGACGCGGCCCGCACCTCTGAGTCCGTCGGCGCGCTCGGGGCCCGGACACGCCTGGAGCCGCGAATGCGGCGCGGCACTCGGTGGCGCCAGGTCTCCAGCGGAAGCCCGTCTCTGTCGAGCTGACCTCGCCATGCCGCCACTGCAAGCAAGCTTTGCGAAAGCACAAGTTTGGACGCCCGAGTAGGTACGGAAAACAAAGGGCACAAGACCCAGCAACACATGCTGTCGAAAAGCGACAGCGGCCGCTGGTGGGCAGGCGGCCTCCTGCCTCCAATGGACAACGTCCGCGGCGGGGCGGGCAGCGGGTCCTGCTCAAGATGAGCTAGAGCTGCTGTTGGGCATCGTGCCCACTCTTTCCGCGCCCCTTTGGACCGTGCCGAACGGGGGAGCTGGGCCGCGGTGGACTCCGCAGCGGCCCTGGGCCCGGCGAGGGGGGGGACGGCCAGCGGCGCGAAGGCCTGCTGCGCCCTGGGCCGCTCTGCGGCGGCGGTCGGCCTCGGCTCCCCGGTGGGGGCGTGCCCACGCGTTACCAGTTCGAAACATGTCCCTGCCCCTGTGTTTTCGGAAGCGGCCAAGAGGGGGGGTGTCCAAGAGGGGGGGGTGCAAATCATGACCGGCGGCACGTGCGCGGCCCAGCGGGGGGGCCAGGGACGCAATGAAATAAGAAGACGCGCCATGCAATCTGGGGAGATACCATGGCCCACGCCATGGTATCCACCCCCCCTAGTCATCACCCCCCTCTCTGCCGCCCCCGATGTTTGGCATCGCCTCACCCCGATGCCGGTCTTAAGGGTTCCCTCGGACCCTGGGGGGCACATCCCTACGCTTGCCCTCGCTTTTGGCTCGCCCATTTTTTAGGGGCAGGGAAAAGTTCGAGGCTGGCTCAGGTGGCCACAGTGGTGAAAGTAGAAGGCACGAAGACCACCCCCAGAATGACCACCCCGACAAGCGAGGCCGCGTAGCAAACGCACGCGAAGAAGGAATCGAACATGGCGGGGCGGAGCTGTGAACGGCCAGGGCAGTTTGGTAAACGCCGGTTATCGGGCGCGGGTGGTCCCCCCCCCTGAGACAAATCTCCAGGGCGAAGACGCCAGGGGAGGTGAGCTGTGCGCGTCCTTTCCAGATTAAAGCAGAGTGCACCGTCCGACAACCTTGGCAGGCCCCGCGACGAGCGAGGACCACATCATGCTCCGCCCAACGGACGGCGGACCAGGTGCCAGCATGCCAGTCGGCGATCTGCCGGGCACTCTCCGACGCCATGCCCGTCTGCTCCTGCCGAGTCGAAGTCGTCGAGAGGTAAGTCGGGGCCTCCAGCGCGATAGGCGCGGGGGCGCCAGTTCGCTGCAAACCCGCAGAGAGGTCCGACATCTTGCCCCCGCCGACGCCGCAGAGGTACTCGCGGATGCTGGAGTCGAACGCCGAGGGCGAATCCAAACAGAGCGGTGCCCTAGACCGACGCTGGTGGAGAGCGCACCCGATAAACGGTTGCATGGCCGCGGCGAGAAGCGCGGCGCCCCTCCCGGGCACGGGGCCGCACTGCGCCGGACCCAAGGCGTTGGGGGCCGCTCAGACGACCGGCTCGGCGATCGACATGCAGGGCCACTGGGATAGGTGGTCGGAGACGAGGGTGCCGCGGCTGTTGCCGAGATAAGGTCGCCCTTCTGCCCTTAAAAACCCCAGAGCCCCCCCACTTCATCGCGAGGGAGGGCCGAGCAGCAGTGCCCAACGCGCCGAGTGACGGAATCACCAAAACCAGCACGGCCTCTGCCCTAGATTTCCACATGGGCGCGCTGATCCCGTCTGGGGCGAGGCCCTTCTCCAGATGAGAGCGACATGAATCATGCCGCGCACGGTCGCGATCCAAATGCCGCGGCGGCCGCTGCAAACTGATCTCCGACACGGGGTGGCTCGGACACAGCTGGCAGTCAGGCAGTAACTGGCAACCAGGGGCGACCAATGCCGCCCCCATCTGCGCTGGAGCTCATCGGGGTCGAAGAGCGTAGCGCCGCGTTCGCCCAGTGCCTTGGCGCGCTTGCGGACGCCCGCGTGCGCCGCGAGCTGCCCGGCGGCGCTCGACAACTGCTTTGCGTCGCCGCTCTGGTCGGCCGCGTCGGCCTGGAAGGCCAGCCCCTCGTCCCAGCGTCGTCGACCTCGGCGAACGAGGACTCGCGCTGCGTTGCGATGGTTGGCGAGGTCTCTGGAATCAACGGCCACTTGGCGGTAGTCGTCGGGGCGTTGCAGTAAGAGGTGATGCGCGAGATCACGGCCGCGTCGGCGGCGCGAGCCTGCAGCTCGCCACCCCAGAAACGCGCGGGTGAACTGGGGCCTCTGGACGCGGGGGGGGGGGCGCGCCAGACTGCTGGATTTCGAACTTGCGGGGTGCTTTGGATCAGTGCCCAGCGGGCCTTGGAGATCCACGGCGGTTGCGGTGCATTCTTTGACGGGGCGCAGATATGTTGGCGCCGGGGCCGTTTAACCCGCTGGATGAGCTGCTGGTGGAAGCGGTCAGGGGCGTCGCGGATGCGCTGCTGGAGCTCGCGGGCGGCCCGCTGCCTGTTCTGCTGGAAAAGAACGCGCATGTTCTCGCCGCAGAGCCAGGCTGGGCTGACATTGGGAAATGGCGGAGGGCGCTCCTGCGGAAGGGCGAGCTCCGCGCCCAGTGCCTCGTGGTCCTCTGTCTCGGCGAAACTGATGCTGTCGTCGTAGACCCGTGCGTTCCGCAGACGATGTCGCCACCTGGGGCCGAGCCAGATGTTGTCACGCCGCTTTTTGTGGCCTGGCATGTAGACTCACGTGAGTCCCTCGCTGCAGAGGAGCTCAGCCGCGTCGGCGAGGTGGTTCGCGGGGCGGCATCCCTATGAGATCTGGTTGCTGGAGTTCACGTCATGGGCCTCGTCGTCTAGACTTCCGGTGCCGCGCCTACTGGAGCCTCTCGCGCTGGGCGCCCCGCAAGTCGCGCATGTCATGGCGCGCGCCGATGAGGCAGGTGCGCGCGCAGGGATGACCGCGCGCGCGCAGCCGGCGACGGGGGCCTCGACGCGGAAGAGGCGTGGATTGACGACGTCTGTGGCGGCCTTGCTCGCGGTCGCGTGGAGGTCCTTGTGGACCCACAGCTGGGCGCCGCCGGCGCCGCCCAAGTCGGCGGCGGCAGTGGGCGAGCTGCAGTGGCCGAGCTCGTAGCGGCCTGACCTTGGAGACGGGCCTCCTGAATGCCAGCGCCGCGGGCTCCGCGCGGGCGCGCTTCAATCAGTTGCATGCAGGCGGTGAGGCGCTGGCTAATGCGGCGCAGCTGCCTCTGCCCCTTCGGGTCGAGGGTCTGGGCGCGGGGCTGTGGAAGGTGACCTGGCACCTAGGCGCCATCCCGCTGCGCGCGATGCCTCTGCCATCGGGCGGACGGGCCTGCGCGCCCAGGAGGTCTGGGAGATGGCCCCGTCCACTTAGCCGCGCTCGCCGTTGAGCCACGGGCCCGCCCAGGCGACGGAGCAGCCGCAGAGGGCTCCGAGGTGGGTCTTCCCAGGCGGCCAGGCCGCTGTCCAAGCCGGTCGTCGTCGGCGCGCCCGAGGCTGCCTCGCTGGCCGCCTGGGCCGCGCTGGGGTCGCCGAAGGGGCCGCGGCGTCAACGCGCGTTATATATGACCGCTCCGCGGCATGTC